TGTTTGGTCATACATGGCTTTGTTTATTATTTTAGAGCTTTTGCCTCTTCCTTTATGGCTCATTAATTAGTATCCATTCTGTAAAAGATCAGGTAATGGTCATAATTTCAAACATTTTGTGTCACTTTACTGAAGGAGGCCTTATCATAAAGTAATGTATTATGCAACTGTCACTGAGATATTTCGATCTTTCATGCCGAAAAACCTGTGATGTACAGCACTTAACTCTCTAAACCGTGCTATTGTAATTATCTTTTTTCTTACTGGCGTGGTTTGAACGTAACACAACAACAGAGAACTAGCCACGTGGCCACTCACTCAGCACCCCCCTTGTCACAGGCAAAACAGACTCAACTTGGGGAAAAATAATAATCAAATGCCCACAGGACACAGACAACACAAAGAGCAGGAATTACATACGTTACCCCACCCCTCCCTTCTTCCAAATCACTTTGTTCCCGGTTTCTCTCCTTCCTTCCCCCCAGCAGTACAGGGGTTTAGAGTCAGTTCACAGGCTGGTCGTTCCTGTCGCTCATTCCTCCTCAGGAAAAAGGATTCTTTACATCCTCCCCTACTTCCTCCTAGGGTCCCTCCCATGGGAGAGAGTCCTCCATGAACATCTCCTTCATGAGTCCTTCCCACGAGGTCAGGAGCTGCTCCAGTGTGGGCTGCTCCAGTGTCTGGGCTTCCCACAGAGTCACGGGCTGCTTCGGGAACAGTCACCTCTCCTGGTGCTGGGGTCTTCCACAGCTGCAAAATCCAATTCCACTGGCAGCAAATGCAAGTCCACTGGCAGCAAATTCAAGCTCATCCCTCCTGGCTCCTCCACGGAATGTTCCACCATGTTCCTCCATGAATGTAGGGGACAGCTGCCATCTCACCATAGGTTGCAGGGAAACTTCTGCTTCAGCAGCTTCTTCCCCTTCTTCCTCACCAACAACAGACACCACTCTGTTTCTCCAGCTCAGCCCTTTTTTTTGTGTTTGTTTTGGGTTTTTTTCCACTGCTTGCTCTGCTCAACTCTTACCTCAGTTCTTTCCTATGTTAATGGCAGAGGTGCATCTCTTGTCTCTCTAACTGCTCTTTGGCTGGTTTGGGAGCTGAGGGAGCTTCTCTGCTTCTTACTGGGGCCACCAAAAAAACCACCAAACCAAATCAACACACAAAAAAATTACTTCTAAGTTCTAAAAATATGCTTCTTACTCTCCAAGTAAAAGATATCCATTCTAGGAAGGATATATCTATAAATAATAGATTAAATCCAGGTTTTTAATGTAGAACTAATGACTGGAATTTTTGTAATATGATACCAAAAGAATTTTTGGTACAGTATATAGTAATGGGTCAAATATCAATGAACCATGAACTATGCAAGCTTGTATTCGGCACTTAAAAAGGAGGAGGAGCCAATACATTTGAGTCAAAGTTCCTCAAAGTGTTTTAAGTGCCAGAGCCAATGGGCTAGCACACATGCTTATATTTTAGCATACAAGTGCAGGAAGTTAGCCAAGCACAAAAGTCAGTCACACAGTTATTTTTGAGATGGTATTTTGTTTTAGTACACTCCACTCCACTGTTGTAGTGTAAAAAGAAATTATGCCTTGTCTTCAAATGTAATTACTACAGAGGACACAAACCTTGGGTTTCTCAAAGGAGCCCAAGGAAACCGAGGACCCTGTTCTCAGTAGGCAGGAAAATAGTATGACGAGATTCTTTTGAACATGTGACCATCAAACACCCGTATGAGAGCATTTTGTTGCTTGGTGTGAGTTTTCTCTAAGTGAGCCAGCTCACAACTGTTTTGCAATACTAAGAGGTCTTACAGTATAGTGAAATATTTCACTATGAGAAAGAATGTGCTTTTTAGTTTCTGTGGAGGTAAGGGTGGGGTGTTGGGGTTTTTTTTGGTTTTTGTGGACCCAGCATTATGGGCCAAATGCTCAATCCTTTTCTGTTAAATCTAAAGTTTAATTTCAATGACACCAAAATGCATGTGAATGTTTTAAATCACATTTGTACATGTGGGTCACTTGAGATTACAGTGGAAAAAATAAGTTCATAAATACTTATGATTTGTTTGAAGTCAGAGCACTTTTCTCTCTGCCTATTTATAGTTTCAGGATAAGAAATTATTGTGCTTAGTAGCAGGAACTGATGAGTGAGACTTTTATACACTCGGAAGAAAAACAGGAGTTGTAATTTTCTATTTCTTCAACCTGAAGAAAATTCATGAATCTTGTAGCTGGGATATAAAATTAATCCTGCTTACTGAAGAGGACCTTGATCACACACTTGCAGTTTTCTGCTTGAGCTGTGGTGTCTGTAGTATCCAAAGGAGTCAATTCTCACAGATATTTTTTTTCATCTGGCTTTGTCTTGTTAAAATAAAACTGATTTTGCCAGTCAGCAAGATTATTTTTAATGTATTATTTTATATTTTAAATTTTTATTCTGTTGCTATATTAAGAACAGGATAGTAAATGGGATTATCGTGAATCTTGAAGTGTTCCCATTTTTATTTTTTTATTTTTTTGCTGCTGCTGGAGTCCAGTTCCATACAATATTAGCAATCAGCTTCTATGCCAAAGCCAAGCAGTGACAGTTGCAATAATGAATATTTGCTGCAGGCCACTGGTATGAAAATAGCACAGTGCTGCAAGTCTGCGTCACCAGAAACAAATCTTCCATTTGACTGTGACTGAATTTCCAGCTCTATTTTAGGTCATTTATTATTGAAATAGTTCTTAAAGCACTGTCATAATATAATGTTAAGAAATGCTGATTCAGTCTTCAAGGCATCAATTCAGATGCCTTCCTGCTCCTTTTTGGTGATTTGTGTTTTTTTAATCTCTTATGCCTTTCATGCTGTACTCTGTATTTAGGGCACTGAACTGTGTACAGGCAGCCACAATGTAATATATTCAGAGAGACACATGCAAGTTAGTTTAGGAGTTCTGGTGAGAAGAGGATTTGAATTCTTTCTTTGTAAGCTTACTTGACAGCTTTTAAAATGTTTTCTCCTTAATTCCTGCAGATAATTCTGAGGTTTATAAGAGTAGGATAGGCTTTGCATCTTTTAATGTGTTATGGCTTTTAGATGGTGAACTTGGACAGTTTTCCTGTATATGTTTTGATGTCATGAATGCATTTGCATTAGTGGAATATACAATGTATTAATATAGGGCACCTTTTGAAAGGTATATGACCAGAATATATGCTCTGAACTTTGATATTTTTGTTACTTTTGGAAAACACTGATGACATTCACCATTTTTAGTTTAATTTCTGTATATAATTCTGCTTTCACAAGTTCAATTCAAGATACCCTAAAAAGGACTGGCATAATCAATTGTAGTTGCTTTTCAGTTTAAAATAATTACATGGTGAAATATTATATCAACATAGATATAGGAGGTCACATATTTGAAGCAGAATAAAATCTGTAGTTATTTAAGAATCCTTTAATAATGTTGATGTCTTCTCTCTTTTCCTTTCATCTCCCTGGTGCTGTCTGTCTTCCTTTTCACTAGGAATGTACATTGGCTAGACCTACTACCATACAGTAGTCCCAAGATGGAGCAACTGAAGTTATAAAAGCAGTGTTATGTATTACTGTGAGTGGGCTTTAGAGAAAAATTAATTTCATTGCAGCAACTTCCAACTGAAGGAAAGCCAAAATCAACACAGATTCTCTAGAATGTTAAAGATATTATTACATGTATAATTTTGTGGACAGTTCTACAAAGGCTGAATTTACTAATCAGTTTCCCAACAAAATGTTCAATATTTCAATACATTATTTTTCTTTTGAAACATTATTATTGGTCTGAAAAAACAAACAAACAAACAAACAAAGAACAGCATGTCAGAATGTTAAGCAAGGTAACACCATTACTTCTGCACCAGTCTTTGACATCCCAGAGCCTTCAGAATTTCATCATCTCCAGACTCACTTTCAGGAAAAAAACAACAACTTTGATTAGACCTTGAGTGGAACTTTATTTTTGCTGTATGCTTTAATGCCCAGCAAAATGTAGAACATTGACATGGCAAAGTTTGCTTTCTTAGTTTTATGAATAATGATTTTTTAAAATCTTCTGGGTGAACATGTAAGTACTTAACTACCAACTACTGAGTACTTAACTACCAAATTATACTGCCATATCCAAGTATCATGATTATTAAAAACACAATATCAATATATTATTTATTCTCTCTCTTAAAACTACAGAAAAAGCATGAGTTCTTAAATACAAGCACTAGGTTTCCAAATAGATTTGGGTATATAACCTCCTTAGAGTTTTTCCAAACTTATCACTGATACGCAGAACGGAAATCTTACTAGTGTTTGTGTAGGTCTCAGAGAATATTGTCTATTTAATTATGATTAGTAATAGCTATTATTAGTGTGCAATAACGGTTAATAACACATGGGTAAATATATACTGTATATTAAAAATGTAATACTAGTTTTGGCTATTATCAAGTGAAGTATCAATTTAACCTTGTATTTTATCAAATATCAAGAACATACAATTATTTTCATTTTAGTTTTACTGGTACAGAATATTAAAACTAGTTTGGCTACTCAATCAACAAGTATTATGCAGTAGTGTGGCACTTTCTGCATCTGAAGTGCTGTGCATAAATTTTGACTTGCTTGTTGTACTGGTAATTTACATGACCCCTTTTAGTGGATTATCTTTCACTTGTACCACACAGTCTAATGACTTGTCTTTTGAGTTTATGAATTCTGTATTTACTGGGTGTTAGCAGAGTGCCAGAGACAGAATACATGGCATTTCAGTACATGGGAGTACTGTGTTTTTTAACCAAACACAATATGAAGAAAAAGGTTGGATTTAGTTCCTCACCATTAGTCAAAGCATCACTGGCATCATCTGGCTCTCTGTGCAGTTACAGCATTAGAATATGAACAAGCAAATGCCAAAGGTCACAACCTTTGTTTGTTTGTTTCCATGTCCTCTCTTTGCCCACAGACGTTACCACAGGGACACCAGCAATATCAACAACGACAACCGTGGAAATCCGGAAGAGCAGTGTTATGACAACAGAGATCACCTCGAAAGTGGAGAAAATCCCCACGACAGCCACTAGCAGCACCACATGCCCTTCTGTGGAGACTGAGGAAGAAAAAGCAAAAAGACTGCTGTACTGTTCACTATGCAAAGTCGCTGTCAACTCTGCCTCGCAGCTGGAGGCGCACAACAGTGGTGAGATGGAGCAGTGCTTGCTTCCTTCCTTTTTTTCTTCGATCTCAAGAGCTCTGCAATTATCTTCCCCTGAATAGATTAGATCTCTTGCAGCAGGGGACAAAGAGGTGGCAGAAAACTGGCAATTACAAGGAATTCATTAACTATTAAAGAATAAAAATGACAGGAGAAGAGGCTTTCATAAAGAGGGAAGAAAGGAATCTTATTTCTTGCAAGTTATCAATTTTCTTACATTTTAGCTTTTGCAACTTCCAGACCTTATAGAACTAAGTGATGGCTCATGCTTCATTACCTTTGGTGTTTAGAGTTTGCATATTTTTGTTTGTGCCAGCTAGCAAACTCATTATGAATGCCATTAGTTTTGTTTGAAATCTAACAAATTAAGGCTGAAAGAGGGAGTGTCAGTCAGAGTTCAATGATGAAAGTTACAATTCTTACCTCCGTGTTGTATGTTAATAACTTGTTGAAATTATGTATAGTTTACTTTTATTTTCTTCAACTGTTAGCAACTGCTTCGTTAGTTGAACGGGTAATTGCTTTCCTCCATCTTTCTTACATTTTTAGCTTTTTCTTCTTATTAGAGCTAGTAGTATCGTGAAGTTCCAGTAGTAGAAAGCCATCATTCGCAGTCACTATTTTAAACATGCTCTTGATTTGCTTTTTGGTAACCAGGATTAAAAAGTTTTGGGATTTAATATTATGGCAATGATCACCTATAACAGTCTTAAAGAAAAAACTGATTTTGGATGTCAGGGGTTACCTGCTAGCAGGGTGAACAGCGTTAGGAGACAGGCAAAGAGCCTTAGGTTTGAAACATAAAGACAGTGACGGTATATGTGCAGCCAGAAGATCAATGGTTTTATGATCAAATAAAAAAAGAAATAACTTTGGCATGTCTATAGAGTCCACTTTAATCAAAAAAAGGAATTTTTTTGTTGTTGTTGTATTAATGAGAAAGAAAGCCTAATCAGTTTTGAATGCTGTGTTTATTATATGCCGGATCTTCAACTGGTGAAAAGTCAAGTTCATAAAGTTGTACCCATTTAACCTATTTAACTTCATATGAGGGTTAGACTCTAAACATTTTTCAGATCAAGATGAGAGCCAAAACATTTTTCTTAATATTTAAACACAACCCTCCCAGTTCGTGCTGTCTATGCTGATAAACTATGTTTGTGCTCCCACATGTGGTGCATGCTTGTAAAAGTGTACATGTGGATGCACAGAGCAATTACCATGGAACACTATTTCTGTACACAATAGTAGCCCATTATTATCACAGACTACCTGTGTGGAAGTCAACAGTGTAAGAAAATGTTTGGTCAGAATAAAGGTAAAACAACAGGATACTATTGTTTCCTATCTGGTCTTTATTTCAATGAAAAATGCAAGGGCATTTTTCTCACATTTATGTTGTTCATGTTTGGTTTTGGTTTCTGTCCAGGCCATTAGGGATCTATAGGTTGCTGCTAGGACCCTCTGCCCCTTTTTGATTTGGAGCCTAATTAGTTCATTACAGATTTAAGTGTAAGCTAGGTAATGCACACTGTTTATCAATCCATTCAGGAGGACTACAAATCAAAGCCAACTACATCTTTAATTGCCAAATTACTCTTCCTTTGCAACTACAATTCAGGTCTTATTAGCAGCAGGAGTTAATGAGAAAAGTCACACCCATTTAACTTCCCATCAGGATGCCTGATTGTGCCACTACTTATTGGTATGGCTGCTATGTTCCAGTGCATTACCTACAGATGTGTTATCTATTAGTTATTAAATATCAGATGTGAAATACTGTTACGTTGATATGAATCTTATTCCGACAAACTCAGGCACATTCCAAGGATAGCACATGGCACAAGCTGAGGTTCACATGATTTTCTTTTAAAAAGAAAATAAAACAATGAATGCAACAAATTGCCAAAGTTGTTTCTGTTTCCCATTTCTAATGTCTCCAGGGACTAAGCACAAAACTATGCTGGAAGCTCGGAATGGAAGTGGAACCATAAAAGCCTTTCCCCGGGCAGGCGTCAAAGGCAAAGGACCTGTGAATAAAGGAAACACAGGCCTTCAGAACAAAACATTTCACTGTGAAATATGTGATGTGCACGTAAACTCTGAGACACAACTGAAACAGGTACTCAGCTAGCTTGCAGTGTGAATCCTTGGCTGTTCTTTGTTTTCATGGTGATGAAGTACCCACGTAATCAGCATGTGTCAGTCTAACAGTTCACATCCAAATGGAGCTCACAGATTGTACCCTTTGTAGTTGTCTTTCATGGTGTTTTTTTTATTTTGGATATGATTTTCCCTTGCATGGAAGGTATTTTCTCAAAAGCTCTTAATTATATATATGTCTTAAAGAGTTCTAGAAGCTGTAAGGTGCAACGTGTTATAACTGTCTTTAGATGCCTATAGTCATCATGAGCTAATAAACCCTGCCAATTAGTATTGTGCATGATATTCGCCTTGACAATGGTGTGGAGGTGGGTGCAGCCAGTATTTTCACAAAACACTGAATAACCTTCATAGAAATGCAGGATGAAGAGGATTTGTAATATTTTTTATCAGTGTCACTCTGTAACTGAGAGGCATGACCTCTCAATTGCAATTACATTAAGTTATGTTCAGTCATTCTTCAGATGAACAAAGCCTTTGTTCTGAAAAACACTTTGTTTAATTCCATATGCCTTTTGGAATTAAATACTTGTTAAGAAACTTTACAAGAATGAAGATAAATTCTGGAATGAACAATAACAATACTTGTCTTCTGCTTTCAGGGAAAGTCCAATTGTCTTTTTTTGTCTTTCTTTCTTTTTTTTTCTTTTTTTTTTCTTTTTTTCTGAAAAAGGTCCCTTATATCTAAAGTCAGCATAGAAGGATTCTTGTAAAATGTCATTGTTTTTATGAACAAAATAATGGATTTTCTGGGTTTTTTTTTGCTGTCACTTAGTTTGATATGAACCATCTTTCAGCTGAAATCTTAAAAGGTTATCTAGGTTTCTTAGGGATTAAAAAAATATTGTCACCCTTCCCTGCCCCCCCACCCCCAACTGGGTAATGCTCTACTATCTAATATTCTTCCAATACTTTCTATCAACAATGGTTTGAACTTGATGGGTGATTTATAGAGACAGGGAGGAATTTTTGCTGCCTTTGACCTCATTCAGATCCTGTTGAAGTTAACAAAGGTGAGAAACTCTTTTACAACAGTGGAAACAGAGTTAAACTGAGCACTGTGGAAAAACCCAGTCCCAATATGTGGTGCATAAAGGATCATTCAAATTGGAGCAGACCCTATTCCCATTCATTATTAAGTTATTCAAAGTAATGCTGTTGTGGGGAGCAGTAGTTTTCAGTATTGGAGCACCCTTGTGTAAAGGAGAACCTGAAATGATCTATTAAGGAAATATAATTCTTTTTTATATTATTTTTTCTTTTTCTTTTTTTATTTTTTCCCTAAATATATTTGTACAGCACATAAGCAGTAGAAGGCACAAAGACAGAGCTGCTGGGAAGCCACCTAAACCTAAATACAGCCCTTACAACAAACTCCAAAAGGGAACACATCCTCTAGGGGTAAGTCAATCACATTTTTATTTTATTTTTATTTTAACCCAGCTGAGTATGGTTTTTAGAAAAAAATTAGTGGAAATTGGAAAGTGGGACAGTCCATGTGTCTGAACGATCCCATGGAAGCCCACAAGGGACTTTTATATACTTCAATGGGTGTGGAGTACAACCCGTGGGTTCTCATTTTTTTGTAGCTACTCAGAATAACCTCAGAAAATAAGCTTGTTTAAGAGGCCATTAGAGAAGACCAACAGACAAAAGAAACATTCAGATGTCAAACAGGATTTTTCCAGTTTTCACTAAGAACAATAGTGATGAAATTACTAAATAAAACTATAAAATATTAAACCTTTATTCTATCCTTATTTAGAAAATTATTCAGATAACAATTGAGACCATTTGAAAAAAAAAACAAACAAACAACAAAAAACAAACTTCTCTCATTGCATTCCATTCAGTTTCAGGATGGTTCTGGCCACATTTTCAAATGACCAGGATAAATCTGAAACACAGTTCTTACTAGCTTCAAAAGCTGAGAAAAAGGTTTACTTTTTAATAAAAAGCCCTGCTGGGATCTTGCCATTAGTTAAGAAACAGTTTATATTGTGGGTGGGATGGTGAAACATCTGTCTCCATCAGATAAACTGCATGATTGTTTTATGTGCCATGGTGTTTTGTAAGGGTTTATAGACGGTTTTGGCAGAGGGAAGATGTTGAATCACTGGCCTCATAGAGAGTAGCCTCTTATTCCTTGACCATCTTCTCTAATGTAGGCAGAATGTGGAGCTCTTTTTTTTCCTGTAATAACCAAGCTCTCTTTAAGTTCAATTAAAGCTCTTTTACTGACAACAGAAAGTATGTCCTTGTTGGGGCAGCCCCCATGATTCATGAATATTCATGCATGATTCAGTTGGGTGTGAGTTTTCCTAGATGTTGTAGCATAATGCAGTGCACCACTCTGGTAGATCTGCTAGTAGGGAAATAGCCCCATAGGGTTTCTCAGTAAGCCACCAAGAAGACCAAGGTCTCCAATACATATAAGCTATACTGAAATGAATAGAAAAATAAGTTATTAGGTAAGTGGGATATGGAATCACTAAAGCCTCCCTGACAGGATTATTATTCCTTTAGGAAATTCATTGTTTCCCAGGGGTTGAAAATAACTATTACATTACTGTTGATGTTGTCCACAGTTCTCTATTTGCCAATTTTTGTAATGGTGATTGCTGAGAACTCCAGCCAAGGATCAAGGCCATTTAGTTGCTGCATGGACAAATAAATGAAACTTGTCCTTTCCCTCAGTCCCAGTTACTTACAACATGCAAGTCAGGCCAGAGGTGAGAAATAACACAAAGGGAATTTAAGAAGGAGAGAATAAGTTAGCAATAAATTAACAGATATGTGTAGTAGAATGGGGGCTGCAGTGAAAAGGATGAGAACAGTTCTCCTTTTTGGTTTTGAATAGAAAAAATACCAAAATTGCTGTCACTTGAAATGCAGAATGGCATAGCAACAAGGCAAAGATGTGCTAATTTTACTCTGAATGTAAATGTTTTTGATGAGCTCTAGACTTTTTCTTTACTTCCCATTAATTTTGCAAGTAAATTGCTATCCCTTAGTTTACTTCATTGGAAATGTAATGAATAATAGATACTTTACTCTTAATGTGGACCTGTGTGTTAGTTTATACTTGCAGAGAGGTTTGAAATGATGGTGCAAGGCACTGTATATACAAAATATTACTAGTTTTGCAGCTATCTTGAAATCAGAACTATGTTGATAAATTAACTGAAAAGCTATCTAATTTTATTATAAATTCCTTAATCCTCAAAAAATAACAAGATAGTCCTAGCCTTTTAGTGTAAACAGCCACATAAGTTCTTTGTTCATTGTGACAAAAAAAAAGTATGAACATCACCAATATTTTTTTTTTCTACAAAAGTTAGAACAGACTACCTTTTCATAGCTTTTCTAGACCAAAACCTTTCCAATGTCATATTTTCAGTATCATTTCTACTGCTTTGTCTTGTTTAGTTTTATATGCTTCAGAGAAAGATTTATTAATTCCCAGTGCTATTTCAGAGTGTAAGAAATCTTGTATTGTTGGGACTTACGTGATATTTCTTCAAGCCACAAATGTCCAGCATGTATAAAACATTACACTGGAGAAAAAGAGGCTATTAAGCATTTGATAGTCAAACTTTCTGCAATGGAATAGCTCTTACAAAAAACATTCTTCACTGGGTATTCTAGACCACAATCAAAGCCCTGTTGTTTTGGGCTAGGTTTTTTTTGTACTTTGTACTCAGGATTTTTATTTATTTATTTATTATTCAGAGAGAGAAAGAGAGAGAGTGAGCTTTTTTTCTTGTCTGTTCTAAACAAGACTGAAAAAAACCCCTATTTACTAGAAAATGCAAGGAAGAAGGAAAAAGTCAAATGCCAAGCAAGGGAAGAAGGCAACTAGCATCAGTGGATAACACTGATCAAGTATCCATTATATCCTCCATTAAGAGAATTCCAGAATCTAGTCTCCTCTGAGTATCTCTCCCAGAGCCTTAAAGGACCTTGAGGCCAGCAGAGTTTCCAGTGGGTACTAGAAGTCAAAATCCTGTATCCATCTGGCTGGTAAAGAACCAAGAGAATTTTTTTTTAATATGATGATAGTGCAACGATTAAACTGTTGGTTCATGCCAGACTACTGCTCTCTGTACTTTCTGACTATTCATTCACCAAGTTGCTGTTGAGTGGAAAGTATCAGACTAATGTATTAATCAATTATTCGAAGATCCCTTTCAATTCAAGGATGAGAAATTGTGTTTTCCTGTGGGTGAAAAGTGTCCATACTTACACCACGATGTACCACAGCATGGTACATAAGTTCTGGGCCTGAGGTCATGCCAGGACACAGGCTCACCACAAGTCCATCAAAGCTCACTGGAACTTTTCTTTGTCAGCGGGTGAGGTTTCTAATCTTGTCTCAGAGTTATAAAACAGGAACAACAAAGGTATTCAGGCTCCTAGTTTCTCATTAGAAACTTGAAGTCCCCTTGAAATCTGCAGAAACCTATATAGTCTACTCTGATGTTCATTGGTATGCATACCAAATGTAAACTCTTTCCAGCAGTCTAGGATAAGCGTGAGGTTTTTTTTTGTTGTTGTTGTTTTTCTTTTTGGAAACTGTAAATGAGATTTTTTTTTCAAAATCTATTTGGTAGTGCACAATACTCATTATTTAAATGTTTTTAAAGCAGAAGCCTTAGCGATGGCAACAAAAATACCATCGTTTGGCACCATACTAAAGGATTCAGGCAAGAGTTTTCCATAACAACTTTTTAAAATACCTTCTGCTTTTTTTCATAGTCCTTGTAAGAATGAACTGTATGTTACTGAAAAAAAATTGAAGATGTAGCAAGATGACATAGTACAACACCCCTAGAATTCATCACGTATTTGAAAGTGTGAAACATTAGGATAGTTTCATAACTAGTGCAAGATAAGCTTTGTTTATTTGCCTGTTACTAGAGGCAGGAGCTAATAAAGAGGATCTAGCTAGAAATCTTAATTTTAAGTAGAACTCGCATCCAAATGATAAAACAAGAGGTACCTACTTAGCCAGACCAGGGATCGGGGTATGTTTTCATTCTGCTCTGGTCACTATCTAAAGCTGTCCAGATGGAGGTCTTTTAATTGATAACTAATTCATTTTTATTTAATACTTGCAGGGCACATACAGGTTTACTTTGGTGCAGATTGATCAGCCCCTTTTTAGATTTGCTTTGATTTCTAATCTCATATTAAATTATAAGTCCCAGTGATAAGGCAACCAACCAACTCCTGCTTACCCTGGTCCAATGTTTGAGATTGTATCTCCTGACCCAAGCCTACAGCTCCTAGAGTCAGTAGTTACTATATGGTCTCTCTTACTTGATTTTGCACTTATAATCTTAAAACAAGCTCCCTGTTGTGTAGCTAATATGAACAAATGATGTCACTCTGTTTGTTTGTTTTCTCTCTTCCCCACAGGTAAAATTAGTGTTTTCAAAGGAACCTTCAAAGCCGATTGCTCCACGAATCTTACCAAATCCACTGGCAGCTGCAGCAGCAGCTGCTGCTGTGGCTGTGAATTCCCCTTTCAGTCTTCGCACAGCCCCAGCAGCCACCCTTTTCCAGACTTCAGCACTTCCTCCAGCACTCCTACGACCAGCTCCCGGGCCTATACGGACCACCCATACTCCCGTGCTCTTTGCTCCTTACTGAACTCCAAACAGGAATTAATTGTACTGCAATAATTTTTCAAATCATAACAAACAAACAAGCAAACAAAAAAAGAAAATCAAGAACATTGAACTATGCAGTGTTTATTTATAGTTTAAAGTATATATGAAGAGCCAGGACTTTTGATAGAGAACTGAACAAATTCTAAAAGGGGGAATGGGCAGTATTTTCTCCAGATGAGAACATTCCTCTAGAGTATTGATTGGTTTAGAACTGATATCCAGCATTGTCTTGTAGTGACATATAAAACTTATTAAGCCTTTTGACTGTGCTTTTTGGCACATATTTCCCTGCAATGTCTTTCCTGCTTTATGAAACAACTTACAAATTTGTCTAAAGGGCATTAACTGGTTCCAATGTACATAAAATACTTTATTCTGTAGATTAAAGAAGAAGGAAAAAAAAAAAAAAAAAGAAACACTGTGAATAGTAGTACCCTTACCAATCCTCCTGCCAAATCAACAGTTACCGGATATTTATCTGAACAAAAGTAGATACAATAGATGTCTTGTAAAACAGTAGTATTGTGTCTCTATCTATGCCACTAGGTTTCTAACTGAGTTGCAAGAGATAAAATTAATAAATTATGTCACTTTGGTAAGTAGTCAAAAATTATGACAATAATGTGGAGCTGTTCCTGGTGAGCAAAAATTGTTTTCCTCACGTGAAGAAGAATGAGTGTGAAGATAACATGAGGTTAGGGCAAAGTAAATGATAAAGGAGATTTAGTGAGGAAAAAAAATAATCAAGATGCTGTACACAGAATATGTCAAACTTCTATTTAACTGAGAATGTATGTGTACAGTGTGTGTATTTTCAAAAAGTGTAATACATACAGGATAGATCAATCTTTAAGGCATGCCAGTGGACAGCTAAAAAATACATTCTTGTCATGAAAGAGGCCTGACACTTCAGTGTTGAGCAGAGGGAAGACATAAATGGGGTACACATAGTTATAACTAGCAAATGAAAAGCAGGAGAGAAATCCTGGCCTCACTGAAGTCAGTATAAGGTTCCTTCTGACTCCAATGTAGCCAGAATTTCATCCCAAGAATGGCACTTTTTCTTTTTTTATATCACATCAGTGGGAGAGTCTGTAGATACAGGTAACATTTTTTGCAGTAGGCTTAGTCCTGGAAACAGATTAATTTTCTTGTTTTATTTCCTACTGATGTAATATAAAATCTCTTAATATACCTATGAAATGTAAACAGCAACACAGGACATACATAATACGAGATAACTGCACAATGTGGTTTTGAAACAAATACAACCTTTAGGATCTGAAGGAACCCTTGAATTCTGTAGCTGACCTTTACATATGGACAGCTGGAAGCCTTATATATTTACTGTGAGGCTTGGAGGGTTTGACTGTGTCCCTTTAAAATAAGATTTATCAGGGGTATATATAGATATATTGTATATATGTTAGAGTAAGAAAAATAACTTATAAACAGAAAATCTACTATATAAAAATAATTATATAACCATCGAGTTTCACATGTGGGTCATTAAGTGGTAAGTAACAAACAGCAGAGAAAAAAATACACTTCTTTATTCTGATTCCTGCTTTTTCCCATAGGGAGCTGAAAAGTATCTATTAACATTATGGAGTGTGTTGCTGAGTCACATGCGACCACTCTGATGTGTAGCTAAGTGAAATGCCTACCATACATTTAGGAGGAACAAAATTTTTAAAAATAATGTAAATTTAGATAGGGAAATTATTTGAAAGATTTTATTAAAGGGTAGTAGTGCAAAATATGGACCATGTGGTTGCTATATAATGCTGCCTGTGGTTAATATGGATGGTTGGGAGATACAGAGGATGGGAATATTCAGCACTTTTGACTTGCCATTCATCAGTGAGCCTTCCACGTACATTGGTATTTGCCATTTTTTTAAACCTCTCTGCATTTAGATTTTATAAAAAAAATATATATATAAAAAGATAGAAAGAAGAGGTTCCATGGATGTCTGTGTCCAAAGAATTCCAAAGAGATGCATTTATTTATCTAGAAGTATTAAAATAATTTCTATTTTATGTGTTTGTATTTCATCCAATTTATTTGCAAATGTTTGTGCCTTGAAATGCAATGGGCTTTTGTTTATATTTAATTCACTCCTATGTAGCCACAAAAAAAAAAATGTGATGGTGATTTCAGGGCTGGTTACTATCTGGATCACTTTAGCCCAATTTCCAAAACAAGAAGACTGTGAGTAAGTTCATTAAGCCAAGTTTAGGCACCTAAATAACTAGGGGCTGACATTTAAAAGGGCTCCCTACTCTACAGCTCCCAGTAAAGAGGCAGTAAACAGGCCAGCCTTCAAAACCTGCACCTAACACTCTATTTAGAAAGTGTTTCCTTTTATCTGGGTACATAAATATAGTATAGTAAGGTTCAGCTCCTCTTTGCAAAACCTTGGCCTTGGTCCTTTAAGCCTGCTTTCAACCTTCCATCTTTTTGCAGAAGTTGTAGTGCCATTGCCAGTTCTGTTCAGATTCCTCCTTGAATAGGGCACTGGTTTTCAAGCTGTGCTCCATGAACCACCATTTATCTCCAGAGCCTTTTGTAACAGCCTGTGTAAGTAAGAACTTAAAAGGTAAGAGGAGGACTGATGTTCTGGGAAGGTGATCTTTTCCCTGAGAAAAAACACACAGATGGGAAAAGAGGAGACCCATAAACACCCTGTAGGCTTTAATGCATAGCCTTCTGGTGCATGGACACCTGCTGTACATCTTGCCATGTTGTTGTGATGCGATCAAAATCAACAGGCTGATCCTTGCCAAAATGTGGCCTGTGGCATGTATGGAGGCACACTACTAGGGGCAGAGCTAATACAAGTTTTGCTAGAAATAAAGAGTGTCGTTCCAAGTACTTACATCAGCTAATTTGCAATGACACCTTCAGTTTTCTTGGACCTCTTTTGTCACAGTGCTCTATGGAACAAGTTATTGTTCACACAAGTCTCTTTTAAATTTCAGCTGTAAACAACAAACTCAATTCTTTTTATGTCTCTTACTCACTACCTAATAAAGGATAAAGCCTAAATATTAGAATGTATAGTGGATTTCTGTGCCTTGCTGTTCCACCCCCTTCTTAGTAACAAGACAATGTACCCGGGATGTCAGCACAACAATTTTACTAGGTATATGTCAGGGATAATAATGGCACAGCAATCAGATTAGGCAAGGGGAGCATCCCGTCAAGGGTATGTCCACAGCAGCTGACAAAGGAGCTGGCAAACAGAAGATACTTTACACCTACTTGTCAATGCATCCTATATGGACAGCCCTGTAAAAGAAAAATGTGTCATCATATTTCATGTCACAGTAGCACTGGGGGGCCAGGAGGAAGCCTAAAGCACAAGGAAACGGATCATTTCGTCAAAGACACAGCTGCTCACTGGAATAACAGAGTGAAACCACCTGCAGGGAAATGGCCAAGTATGAACTCAGAAAAACAAATAGGTTCAGGAGTGTTTTCTTAAATTCTACACAGGATGGAAAAGAATGATTATTCTTTTCTGACCCAAAGAGACGGTATTTTTGTGGGAGGTATATATATATCCTTAGATTTTTACGCTATCTGCATTTTTCCAACTATCTCTGGCTTAAAACCTGTGTTCTGAAGGATCATTGCTCTGAACCATGAAATCACCTTCTTGAAAGATGCTGTAAAAGCTGATGTGAGAGTTCAGTAAGCAAATGGTATAAATATGATGATCTGAAATGAAAAATATGAACTGGCCATGTCAAGGAATATTGTATTGGAAAAATATACATCTTTATTTTAAGATAAAGTTATATAAAATTAAGAACAGCTAAATAAAGTGAATATAACTAGAAGAATTACATCTGTCATTTTAGTACTGGAATATTACGATTGGCTTTGTATATTAAAAGATGAAAAAACTTTATTGATAATGAATCAATACAAAGATGCTATGGGCAAATTTAACATCTCACACTCATTATCTTCTAGTTAGGCCAGGAATACCATAGCTGAACTGACCTGCCTTTAGTCACTTCTGTTCTAATCCTCAAAGATACAGTACAGTATTGGCCTGATATGCCCTGAAAGCTGAAAACATACCCTGCTTCTGCCTTCTGCTCCCAGGAAACACAGTTATTAGTCTCCTCAAAGCATCTCGGGGAACTTCTGTCTTAATAGCTCTCAGTTCTTTGCAAAAATTACTGCCATTTTATGAACATAAGATCAATACCGAGGAGCAAAACCTGCAAAAGGTTTCTTCATAATTACAACATTCTTGTAATTAAATATGAAGTTCAGTTATATATTTGTTTTATTGCACAAATCTCTTTGAAAACTTGTGAAGTTGAAAGCCTAAACCAATTCATAAGGAAACTCTTATTTTTATTAACAAGTGTCTGAATTTCCATTTTAAAAATTGACTGCAGCGCAGTTCAAGTTTCAGAGCTCTAAGCATCTAAAGCTCTCAAGAAAATACCCATGGGCTTCCTGTTTACCAAGATGACTGTGGAAACGTTAGCCTATGCTATGTAAAATATTACAGGGGTTTTCAACAACATATTTTCTCCTTTTACACCACATCTTGTCATTACTTCAGCTGGGCTTCAGTCCATGACTGAAGAAATAGTAATACTGCTAAATCCTATCTTAAACCAGTTGAAATCTCAAACACATAGTTAAGGGTTTAGCCAAGGGCAAAAAAAAAAAAAAAAAAAAAAAAAAGCTTTATGCCCTCTCACACTTCCAAGTTTATTAAAATTCAGGACCATCTAGGAGTAAACAACTATCTGGAGGATGGTTATTACATATCCTGATCTGAAATGTCAGGGGCTGAAAGAGTCTGTGCTCCAGACCAAAATTAAGAATACTATGAAAATCATAATGCTTTTAACCCTGGTGCTCCTGAAAACAGTTGCAAAGATCTTTGACTTCATTAGAGGCAATTTTTACCCCGAGTGCCTGAGGCCTTACTCAGCCATGCTGTGTACTGCAGTTAGCTGTCTTTCAACTCTGATTCACTATTGATACATCGATAAAGAAATTTGACTGAGCCTGAAACACGATTAGTGGCTGCCTTGTTTCTCTGGGCAGCTTCATGCTGGGATGATGCTGTATGTGGTGGAGAATTAAGAAGAGTCAAGAGTCAAGGTATAGAATCTGGTAAACTAATTTGGTCCCTTTTTCT